ACTTTCTGATTATGATACATATAGCCATCAACACCAATTATCAAATTATATTGGTTGGATGCTGACCACCTCCTGCGACCCCAAAATTAACAAATAATATTGTTGCTTTTTCATTCTTACAACTTACACTTCTTGTTGGTTTTATTCTTCTTCTGCTCCACGTTTTGTGAGAAAAGGGAGATAGAGTGATGGGGAATTGCCAGGCCATAGATGCAACAACACTGGTAATACAACAAATACAACTGCCAAGTGGCAGAGTGGAAAAGTTACATTGGCTAGTTACAACAAGCGAGATCATGAGATTGAACCCAGGTTACCATGTTGCTCTTTTTATCGCTTTGTGTCTCCTAGAGGAGTACAAATGTGAGGACATTGTTTGAATAACACGTAGCAAGATTCTTCGCCTAACTGGTACTCTTGTTCTTGGCCAAGCCTGCCGTTTCATCACCTCTCAAGGTTGCGCCTTTTATCATCGTCTCTTTGCTTGCCTGTCATTACCAAATCTTGCACCTTGCACCACTGCCGCTACGAGTAGTTGCGGTGATGACATCCGTTGCTCTCTCCTCTCTGTCATTTTCCTTCTTCTTTACCTCCCACGCTCTTCTTCCATCCTTTCCTCTGCTCCTCTTTTAATCCCATTCCCGATTTCCTCTTCCAATCTCAATTCTTGTAACTAAGTCGACCAATGTTGTCACTTTGGTCCCAAGGCAAGCACTCAAATATGAATAGTATAAAGTGTTAAAAAAATAAGATGATTTTATAAATTTATAATATATAAAAGTGTGAGTGCAATGTAAAACTTCTTTTGGAATAAAATTAATCTTTAGAATAAGTATAAAAGTAATTTTATTATAGCTTTATTGTCACATTTAATGGGTACTATTATGATTATATTTGTGTATTTAATCCATTTCTAATTGCAATTATTACTTTCTACCTCATTTAATTCCGTCTCATTAAGTCTTATACTTAAGGTATTAAATCCCATTTTCTCTTATTAAATCCTATATTTTGAGTTATTTTTCAGTAATAAATGTTACTAATTAGATCTATGTTAATATTTTTAATTAACAACATAAACCCATATATTTTAAAATTGATTAAAAAACAAAACCATTCTTTATCCAATTAATGGCTAAGCAATTCAGCCCACATATTTTTATTGATAATGAAAATGAAATACATAATTTATAACTATCAAAAATAATATAAAAATTAATAATAAATAGTTCAACTTTTGGGTTAAATGTGTTAACCTTCAATGTCATAAATAAATACTAAAAATTAATCAACTATAAAAATACAAAAATAAAAAAAGTACATAAATTTTGCAAAAAAAGCACTTAGGCACGTATAATATCATGTACTTATCATATTAAACAAAAAGCATGCATGACATATCATAGTTATTTTTACACAAAAAATACAAAAAAAAATTATAGAAAAAATTGAACACATTTATGATTCTATATTTACACTACTATTAAAATATGAATAAGATTGTAGAACCTTATTTTGACTAAAATCAAGGTTTTAAAAACCGACCCATAACCAAAACCTCTTTGGCTTCTAGTATCCAGGTCAATGGTTCAACCGTCCAGTTTGAACGGGTCAAAATGGTAAGATGTAAAATATAATGTAACTTTTTATTTTGACTGTTAGATTAGGATTAGATTAAAGTCAACTGCATATATACATTATTATGAAATGGGAGTGTGAGACTTTGAGAAGGAGGCGGCTGGTTAAAGCTAATAAGTGAGAAAGAAGAAGAAGAAGAAGAAGGAAGGAATGAAGTGTTTCCGGAGGTGGTTGTCACTATGTTCACCGGTTGTTGCTGTAGAACTGTTTTGCCTTGAGAAGAAGAAGAAGACCATCACCACCTCTACAACACCATTTGCCCTCTTCTTACATCTCTCTCATCTCTCTAAATCTCTCTCAAATCCCACATTGTTTGCTTCATTTGTATATTTCAATTTTTAATATAAGATTGATGTTTAATCTATCTTATCTTCCATTAATTTTTTTATTTCTTTATTGGAGTTACAATTTTTTTTTATTGTTACAACATAAAAAGATTCATAAAAATAAGAAAATTCAAAATCAAAATGGAAAAACTAAAAACCTTCACTAATTTTAGTCATTGGGAATAATCAAACAAGATTATGACTAGACATGTTCATGGCAGGGCCCATTCAAAATTTGGAAAAAGCCAAGCTCGAGCCTGACACATGAACAGGTCTAATTATGACATATTAAAGTTTATTTTTTATTTTCTTAATTTTATTCTAAAATAAAACAAAAATTTGGAATTAGTTTGAAAGCAACTTGAGAACCATTAACCAGGTCAAACCTTTTAATGGTTAAATCATCAAAGTTAGTGGTTGTCTTGCCATTTCAATATTTTTTTTTTCTGTAAAATAGTAGTATAGGGCCAAAAATGGAACTAGTGACCTAACTGGTTCCTGGGCCAAACAATTCGATCGTCTTGTTTGGTCGGATTTTTAAAACATTGACTAAAAGACTTATTTTGAATTTAGTCCCTATTTAATTGTAAGGTTTAAGTTGTAAATTGAACTACTGCTTTTTACCTCATTCAATTCCCTCTATTTAAATCTTACTTTTTTGATAAATGAACAAAATTAAAAAGATATACCAAAAAGATAAAACACTACAAAAGGAAGAGTTTAGCCAAGTAGAATGACTTATTAGGGGTGTTCACATTAAATGTCAAACCAACCAATCCGGCCTGACCCTATCTGAGTTGGTTGGTTTTTTAAAACCACTGGTTGGTTTCAATTTGTGTGAGAAAATAAACTAACAACTCGGTTTAGTTTCGATTTTCATGTATAAAACTGAAACCAAACCAAACTGACCCAACCCTGCATGTTTAGGAAATTACTAATTAATCCCCACTTGATAATCCTTAATCCTTACTTACTCCTTATCATATTTAACTTAAAATTTAAGTTATTAATTACCTATATTATTTTGCTTATTATCTTTTTGGGTTTAGTAACCATTGCGTTTTTTGGAAACAAGCAACCATTGCTTTCAAGGAGTCATGCAATGGACAAACACGTTGGGTGTTCGGACTGTTGGAATCTTCACTGTTTTGTTTTGGAAAGAGAACAAAAAGAGAGGTTAAAGAAATATTGGTAAGTGAGTGTTTGATACGAATCTGGATCTCCTACCCACAACTTCCTACCCATGTCCCTGCCCATGTCATAAATTTTGGACACATGTCCATTAACATGTGTCTTTTCTTTACATGTGCAGAATTGCATGTGAAGCCAAAAGGATGTAATGGGACGGATGTTAAAAATAATTACTTTCCCCTTCCCAAGAACCCTAATAGTGGTTCGTTATCTCCATTCATTCTCTATAGCGTACTGTTCCAAGAAACTTCACAGACAACCGACAACCAGCAACTGGCGACATGCTCACCCGCATCTTATTCTCTTCGTATTCCATCAGTTAACCTTCTTCTTTTATTCTCTACAATGTCCTATTCCAAGAGATTCCACCGACATCTGATAATTAACAATCGAGGACGTGCTCCCTGATACACCGGTGGTTAAGTAACCTCAACCAAGGGAAGAGAGGATTTAATTAATTAGTTAATTAATACAATTGATCAGATAGAGAGATCAATTTATTTGCAAGGAGCTGGCATGTGGGTTCCCCCAAACTCTGGCTGAGCATTAGAACACAAGGCCAAGGGAGCCAAATCATCGGGTTTGGTGTTGTTGTATTTCGAATCGATGTCGACAGTTGAACGTCCTCACAGGGCACCTGTTTGCTGCACGTGATATTGACTGCAACCTTTGATGCCGAGGTGCCTATGATATTCTTGAAATGAACATCGCTAATCTTTACACGAGATGGCTGCCGGCCGGAAAATAAAACAGAATCAATCAGTGGTTTCGACTTCTGAGTGATGAGTATATATAGTAAATATTTTTTGTATTGGTTGAGGTTACTTAACCACCAGTGTATCGGTGAGCACGTCCTCGATTGCCGGTTGTAAGATGTTGGTGGAATCTCTTGGAATAGGACGTTGCGGAGAATAGAAGAAAAAGGTTAACTGATGGAATATAGAGAGAATAAGATGCCGGTTGCTGGTTGTCGGTTGCCTGTTAAGTTTCTTGGAACAATACATTGTAGAGAATGAAACACTATTAGGGTTGTTGGGAGGGGGAAAGTAATTATTTTTAGGTTAAAAAATTAATTGGGGTAACGGGTCAATTCTGAGTTCTGACGGGATGGACTTAACGTCTGTCTACATCCTTTTGACTTCACATACAATTCTGCACATGTGAAGAAGAGGCACATGTTAATAGACATGTGTCCAAAATTTATGGCAGAGACATGGGTAGGAAGTTGTGGGCAAGAGATCCGGACTCGTTTGATACTTACTTGCAGTTGGAGTCTTCATGTTGCCTGTTGGAGTCTTGGTGCCGAACCAACTAGGGGTGTTCACATTGGATTGTTTAAAACTATTTTAATTGTTATATAAACCGATTAAATTGATAAATCGACCCTTCATGTTTGAATCAGTTTTGCTTTAAGGTCAGTCGATTTCGGTTTAGTCAATAAGTAAACCGATTAGGTCAGGTTAGTTGAAGAAAATGACTCAAACTGACCTGTAAACACCATTATGGCCCATCAATGATAGTTGAAACTTCACAATTGATCTAATTAACATATATTTGGTGTTTATGTAATGATATTTAAATTTTTCAATCCACATTTGATTAATAATAAAAAACAAAAAATAAAAATAAACAATATATATATATATATAAATTTTAGATATATTATTATTATAATTATTATCATCTATTCACGACGGATTGACCCGATTGTACGGGGATCATTGTAATTTACCCTTTCATTTATTCTTTACATTTGGGAAAGAATAATTTTTGAATAATAGTGAGTGGTGACTGGTGACAGAAAACTGTCCATAGAAAAAGGCGGGATCGAATGACCAAACTTGTAACGTCTTTTGAAACAATGGAGTTCTAATATCGAACCAGTACAGCCAGGGCTCATTCGAGTTGCTCCCTCCGTTCCCTCGCCCTTACCATCTCCCGTTCCCTCTCTCTTCAACCTCGTTTATCACACTCTCCATGGGATGTTGTTTATGAGACTTTGCAATGGGAGGGTGTTTCTCTTCTGCAAACGCAACTCTCTCCCAGAGAGCTAACCATCGCAAACCTTGCGCCAAGGGTGACAAAAAGGATGTCGATGATGTCTCCCGAGATTCTGTGGTCGTGCCGGTGCCCAAGGTCGTCCTACCGGCGGTTCTCACGGAGTCCACAGGAAACGACATTCTGAAACGGTATCACCTCGGGAGCGAGCTCGGGAGAGGAGAGTTTGGGATCACGCGTCAATGCGTAGACATCGAAACGGGAGAAAAACTAGCTTGCAAGACGATTTCAAAGAATAAGCTTCGTTCGGAGATCGATGTGGAGGATGTCAGGAGGGAAGTGGAGATCATGCGGCGTTTGCCTGTGCATCCGAACGTTGTTAGGTTGAAGGAGTCTTATGAGGATGAAGAGGCCGTTCATCTCGTCATGGAGCTCTGCGAGGGCGGCGAGCTCTTTGATCGTATTGTTGCCCGTGGACATTACACGGAGGGAGCTGCTGCCGTCGTCACCAAAACGATTATCGAGGTCGTCCAGGTAGTTGTTTCATTTGAAACTCTCCTTGCATTTTCAATTTTGGTTATCGTTCTTTTTTCTTTCACTACATGTGACGATCAGAATCTGTAGACGTTTTTTTTTTCCTCTTAGTATTGCTTTTCTTATTTGGAATGGAATAATTCTGGACAAACCCTTATAAGCTGCTTCGGTTGCAAAATGTGGACAAACCCCTACTGGAACAACTGTGATGATAATATTGATAGGTAATGGTCTGAAAATTTAGGATATTAGACTGAATATGTTACTGACTTACCGGCTGAAATATAAAATCTCCCTCTCATTGTGACTATGAGTCATGGATTTTATTTTTTATTTTTTTGGTTGATGGGGCTACACAACGAGTGACAGCTAATCCCTCATACCCAATCCCTCCCTCCCCAGCCTTGGTGGCAGCAGGATTTGATCCCAAGTCTCCTTTATAACCAGCCAAGTTCAGATCTGCTACCAACACGTCCCAACTAGTCATAACAGTCACACATTGGGGACATCTAACATCTCCCCATGAATGACAAAGGAGATGGAATTGAGTCTGCTACTCACAATGACCTCACTGCCACATCCCACCGTGTATTGGGAATATCTCCCATGCATAATAACATACAAATATGGGAGATGTTACTGATGTGCGGCTGGTGCATGCTGTGAGGTCGGTACGAGGAGCAGGTCTGGACTCAAGGAGATGTTCAACAAAGGAGATGTCCCCAATGGGGCTGCAGTGGCCTGTTGGGAGCATTCTGTTGGTAGCAGATCCCTACCCTATCCAACCAAGGACCCTACCAACTGAGCCATCATTAGTTGGTGGGTCATGGATTCCATGGCCTCTCAAACAAGTTGAACAAAAATGTAAGATTTTCAGGTTACCCAATGCAGCATAAGTAAGTTCTGAACTCTTTGTGTAGTTTTGTGGTATCGTAAGAGTGGATTTATAAAATTGATGGAAAATTTGATTCCCTATAAAATGGATGGAGAATTGTTTAGATTGAAATACTTAAACTATTACTTCCACCTCTTTTGCATTGAAAACTTTATTTTTTCGGTGGACATAAGTGACAAGTTAAACGGTTTGGGTGTCATTGGCTCATCGTTATAGAAGCCTTTCTAGTGTACTTCATGTTGAACTCTCTGCCTATAGAGTATGGACCCTTCAAGGTCTCCTATGACCAATGATTTAAAAGGCGCGCCTCAAGCGTGCCTAGGCGCACAGGCGAGGCGCATTTTGGGGTATGCGCCTTGCCCAGGTCCTAGGTGCACCTAAGGCGCCTCAGCCCAGGCGTGCGCCTTTTTAAAATTTTGTGCTTTTTGCTTTTTTTGAGTCCAACGGCTGGGATGTTATGTTTATGTATTTTAATTTTAGATATTAGGTTTTTTAAATCATTTATTTTAAAATTTAAGTTTATATTTTTATTAACATTCCTTGCACCTTAGGTGCAAATTGGCCCTTGCACTTTTAAAACATTGCCTATGACACACAAAAAGGGTCATGGAATTTCAATAGGTTCTTAACAATGCATGTCCAGGAGGAAAATAAAGCATGAGAAGCTGGAAACAATGAATTTGGTGCTAAAGGGCAAAAAGAAAGTAAGCCTCACAAAGGGCAAAGGTTAGAAGATGACCAAGGAAAAGGGAAGGACATGTCTAATGTGCTTCTTCTATAAGAAAAAGGGTCACTTTAAGAGTGACTTCACCCACTCCAAGAAGTGGCTAGAGAAGAAAAATGATTAGAAGGGAAAGAATGCATGTATAAATCTATCCCTTGTTTGTGAATTGCATTTAATGGAAGTTCAACGAGGATGCAGGAATTGAGCCCAAGTGAGCAGTACATCTATCTCGGAAATGGAGGCCACCTCGAAGTGAAGGGCGTAGGAACCTTTAAATTATTACTTTCCACTGGTTTTGTGTTATTTTTGAACAGAATTGTTTTTGTTCCTACGTTTTCCAGGAGTTTTATTTCAGTTTCCAAGTTGACTTTGGATGGTTTTAAATTACTTTTTATTTGGTTCAAAATTTGATTTATTTAAACCTAATAGATTAGTTGGAAATGGTTTCTTAGTTGACAACCTTTATAAATTGGACTGCTCATTGGGTGAGACCAAATTGGTTCTAAATTGTGATACATGTGTTAAAAGGAGTGCTCAAGAAGAGAACTCACTAGTCTTGTCGCATAGAAGATTGGGTCACACATTAGTTGACAAACTGAAAAGGTTAATGATTGATGGGACATTACAACCCATGGTTCACATATTAGTTTTTTTTGATAAATGATGGTTCACATATTAGTTAACCCACTCACTTTTAAGGAAGCCATGGATGTTTCAAACTTTGTGCTTTGGCTAGAAGCCCTTGAAGAATGAGCTAAGGATGATAGACCCTAGAATCTCTCTTATCTCTCGTAGTTGTTTTGTAACTCCAATTTGAATTTTAAATAAGATATAGGGATAAGAGAAAATAGGGAGTGGTTGAGGTAAGGTATGGGAGGTGTGTGTTTCTTGTTGGTTAATACTTGAGGTGGTTCCTTGATGGGAGGAACCACCTAGAGTGTAGGGTGGATAGGGTCCCTCCCTCTTAACGTTCTGGAGCAGAGAAACCCCATTCATTTTTTCTAATTTCTACTACTATTGTACATGCCTTTGCAAGAGAGAAAATTGTTGAGAGAGGGAGAGTAGACTTTAGCTATCTAGTCAAATACTAGAGAAAGAAAAATAAATAATTCAGAAATAGAGAAAGAGGAGGATCGAACATGTCTTGGGTGAGATTTCAAGATAGAAATTGAAAGCAAAGGAAGGACTGAAGGAGGATCAAGTAAGGTTGCTGGTCGATCCATTCAGAACTATTTGGGCAAGAATAAAACTACAAATCGGTCCATGGCAATGGCTGCTGCAGGTATGATTAGAAAATTAATTATTTTATTGGTTCTTTTGTAAATGAGTTGACATTCGATCAACCCAATTAACCATTTTATTCAAAAGTCTCTGTGACACCATTTTCTCTGAGGCTTCAAACTATCCTTCTACTTCAGCCAGATACTCTGTTACTGTCTCTTTGTCAGGAAAATCACCTCTAATATTTTTGCTGATTTTGGACTTCATTATCATTTTGCATAGCCTATCAGAGTTTTGCCAACTCTTGTGAAATTCCTTTTCTTCTTTTGTGCTCTCATCTGTAATGACATATTTTTTTTGACCCATAGGACCAGATCTAGGTTTGCACAGCCTAAGGCAACGAGAAGACTCTCTTTCCATTCTTGGAAGTTGTTCCAGTAAAGGTATTGAACTAAGGTCAAGGAAGTTAAGATTAGTTGCCACAAAAGCAAACAAATTATAAGAACTTTTGAAAACACAATTAAGTTTTAACTTTGGGCATCCAACCCAATTGCATTGTGGCTAACCACCTAATGTGGAACTAGGTGTTGGTTAATTTGAGTATGATGGTCCCGTACATTTGGGCATTTGAGATAGCTCCATCCATTAATTAATTCACATCTATTTCACCCCACCCAATTGCCAACCTAGTAACCATTTGCCTTTGGGTCCACGTGATCACTAGTTTGTCAATTAGATCCAACTTGTAAATAGTGTGGTTTCCTACTACGATTTACACTGATGTTGCTTTGGCTATGCCTAAGTGTAATCCAATTAATCTAATGACAGCTTAATTTCAAGGATGTGTGGTGTTTGTAAATCAATCAATTTGGTAGCTTAAGCATCTTTGTGTTGGATTGAAGTCTTTGTATGTATGAGTATTTGGCTGATAAGAGTTCTTATTAGCCTATACTTAAGTTTAAGTTGTCCTGTACTGGGCCTAATCCTGTTTAATGTTTTAAGTTGTCTGGGTGTCCCATCACTAATCAGGGGCATTCTAGTAACTTCCTGTATCATTGTACTACACCATAATATAAATAATAGTACTGTCGACTGAGGTGAGAGTTCGACATTCCTGCATCTCTTCTTCTTCTTCTTCTCTTTTCTGCTACTTCGGCTACAGTAATTTAGCTTTCACTTTGAACTTGTTAGAGAAACTGCATGTGTGTGAACAAATTTCCTTAAAATTTCAACTATTATTAATAACCGTAGCATTCATTTCAGCCCAAAATCATTTATAAGGGAAGCTGCAATGGGCTGTTACACCCATTTCAGCCTAAAAGTATGCATTAAAACATCCTTGGGCCCACCAAATTGTAATAGCAATTCGACTAGCCCTATTCATTTGCTACTTGTGGGCTCAAATGGAGTGAGTCTAGCTACAACAATTCAAATTGAAATCATAATAGAAAGTTTTTAAGAGAAGTTACAATGGGCTGTTACACCCATTTCAGCCTAAAAGTATGCATTAAAACATCTGGGTCTACCACAATGGGTACATCTTAACTTGTCTTTGTCAACTTCCTCAGTCTTCTTCATCCCTACACCACCCTTTTTATTTTCACTTCCTCCCTTAGCAAAGAGAGTAACTTGCTGCTCCCTCTCTAGAGGATTCATGGCCATCCTCCTACTTCCCTCATACTAAACCAAGGAATACATTTCCTGAAGTGATGGGAGTTCCTTACTCCCTAAAATTTGGACCTGAATGGGCTCATAACTATGGTTAAGACCAGCCAAGAGGGCAAACACTTAACTATTGATTCACAAGTTTTTTGTACTCTTTTGCATCAGACTCATTCTTCCAGTCAACCATTTGATAATAATCAAGTTCCTTCCGCATTGAGTTAAGGGAAAAATAATAGGAAGACAAACTTTTCTCCCCTTGTTTACAATTGGATGACTCAACCTGTAGCTAATAAATATGAGCATAGTGCCTTTGCTTAGAGAAAATAGCCTTAACTTGATCCTGAATCTCCTTTGCTGTATCAACCCACATGAAGTTTTTCCTTAGGCTAGGGTGAACGGAGGTTGCAAGCCAAGACATAATCAAATAATTGTCTTGGCCCCACTTATTACAAGCTGTACCAGTCTCTTTTGGTTGAGCAACATCACTAGACAAAT